TTATTAAACATGAAATTTTAGCACTGTTCTTAAGACTACTTCAACAAAGTACTTTTCAGCCCAGAGCGATATAGTGTTTTTCTCTCACAAGCAAATCAGGCGTAAGCAGCCATTGTATAAGCCAAATTTCAGCCCGAAAGCGAACAAGGCAGCAGTATAAGTATTTTTGTTTTGCAAAGGAGATTAGAAGGTAGCTTTTTTTTTACAATGTTAAGAACAATCCATATTGTTGTTTTTGTTGTAAAAGAACAGATTTGATTTTGCCGAGGGATAAATAATGTCTTCACAGCTCAGGAAACTGCATCAGAGTCCAACTTAGGGTTTGACATGTGGAAGCTCATCGATACACGGGTGATGGGACTGGTTTAAATGCACGGTTTTGTACGAGTTGTACGCAAATGTCATCTCATGATATGAGATTTTACAAATCTGAAGGTGACAACACCATATTTGACAGAAATATAAATGAAATGATACATGAGCCGATATGGGTACGCAGACACGAGTGCATTACAGTACAGTTTCAAACACTAAACAGTTCCAATCTGAGAACAAGCTGTCGGTAACTATGCTTCGTTCGGTATCCTTTCATCCTCTGTCATCCTGCACGATAGGATTTCATTCAGACACAAATTGTTAGCATCACTGTGACGGAAGTCAGCTTCTTCTCTGAAAAACCTTTTGAACGGAAGGTGCATATTGTCAGCATATATCCAGAAGGCACCGTCAGCTTCTTATCTAATTTTTTGCTAACCGAGGTGCATATTGTCAGTCAGAGGGCACAATGCTCTGTCTCATTGATTTACTCCATCTATCCCGTAATATAGTGCATTCTAAAAATTATAATAGAAGAGATTAAAGCGAGAACACAAAAAAGATGCATGTGTTGTCACTTTGTTTATTAATTAAATGCTATCATCAACATGATTAATGATGATTGCTTGATAAGTGGAAAGAATTTAATGCAAAACTAGTTTCTATCCCTAGAAAGGCTAGAACCCCTTATATTTGAGTACAAATTTTGAATGCTTGAGTGTGCTATATTACAGACGGAGAGAGAGTATCAATTATCATTTTATAAGAAAGATGGCATTCTCAACTCATGACTGCAGAGGCAAAAAGTTCTACATCTCACATTCTCACTGATTACAAATATTATTTCATAAGAAAGCTGACATTCTCAATAATGATGAGACAAACAACTACAACTTCCTAATGGTACAGGATATACCTGTTGATCTGCATAAAAGCTTCTAATCAACGGATTTGTTTTTATGGGAATACTAGCTACTTTATCCCATTCTGGTCCATCCTTGAGTTGTAGTTGGTTCATCAAATTTGGTTTGCACCCAATTAAATGAAGAACTTGCAGAGAAGATGGGAAGCCACTTGGCAAAGACTCCAACTCAGCACAATTCATTATGCTCAGTTTTTCTCAGAGTGGTGTTGCTGTTGAAGTTGGTAGGAAAGATTTCACAGTGATCTTGGAGCAATTTTCGATCAATACACTTTCTAGTGCCGCAAAACTTGGCATAGAGTGTGAGAGGAAAATTCAGAGCACTGCTGAATGTGTAGCTCATGAAGTTTTGTTAAGCAGTCTGAACTTTCCATCTGTGGAAGGCATGTGATGTTGTTGCAATTAGATATCTCCAGCCAGGTAAGCGCTTGTAAACCCCTCAAACAAGTGCATAGCTGCTCATCATTTATGCTTGAATGAGATATTTGCAACCTCTTTAAGGAAGTCAACACATGAAGCTCTTCAAACTTTACATCTTGACAGTTCCTCAGAGTCAAAATAGCAATTGATTCCAGTTGTTGCTTGTGCATTAAGCCATTTGTAAGGACAGTGGCAGAGCATGTGTCTAATGCAAACTTGCGCGCTTTTGATGGCGAGGAAGAGGATAGTTTTAGTTGTGAAACAAATCCTGTATTTTTTACTGAGACCTTCCGCACAAATAGAGGGAGCTGAGGCACCTTAATCAACTCAGGACAGTTCAAAAGCTTCAACTTGCGGAGTTTAGGAAACATATCAGTGCTCTTCTCTGCTTGGGTCCACTCAACCCACTGAGGCATATCATCAAATTCAAGTTCCTCCAAATATGGAAATGCAATTGGATTGGTTCCATAAAATTCACGGCCGATTTTTTTCACTGAGCACATTTCTTTCAAATGCAAAACCTTGAGACATGGAAGCTGCCCGAGAGGAGGCAGGACCTCCCATTTTCTACAGTTGATCAAATGCAGGTATTTGAAGTAGAAGTTGCTCTCATTCAAGCTTGTGCTCAGCCAGTTTGGTGATCTATTACCATGATATCTTCTAATTATAAGCCTTTTAACATATTGGTGCGGCTCAAGACCATCCAAAACTTCAGCCTCAACAGAGGGAACACTCTTACCAGTCGAGTTCCATTCTAATTCAAGTACCTTAACATTCTCCTTCCTGTTTAATCCAGCCTTGCAGGCTTCTTCTTGCTTTGTTACAACATCAAGGTTCTTTATATGAAGCTCTTTACGCAGACTGCTCATACCATCCAAGTCTCCTAAAGTATGGCCCTTTTCATTTTTAACATGGAACTTAACTGATCCCTGCAGGTGAACCAGTTTCCCAATGCCAGTGATTTTAGATGTATCCATGTCCAAATGTCGCAGATGTGTCAGGTTTACAATATCTTCCGGGACCTCAAGGCCAGACCCCTTAGGACTACTAAAGGTTTGAAGGCGATAGAGCTTTGTCAGTGCTTGTGGAAGCTTGGTGGTTGATTTGCAAAGTGCCAGGTATCTGAGGTATTTAAGGTTTCCAATCCTCTCCGATAGCAGCGAATGATATTGCAGCCTTCCAAACTAAGAACTCGAAGGCCTTTCAGCTCTGTGAAAAAATCTCCTGGCAGTTGATCCAACGAAGAGGAAGGGTTCTTGAGAATCAGTAGTGTGCGCAATCTTTTCAGGTCACATCGGCTCTTGAGCTGCGCCACCGTATCACTATCACCAGACACAGATAAGTGCCGGATTGTCTTGGGGATCTCTTTCTTTGCATCTTCAACTCTCTCGCAATCGAATCGAGAAATCTTCTCGGCCAAATCATGCATCAGGTCATGGATGTAATAGTACCTCCGACGCCCCAGCTTTTGCCTATGGAAAAATGACCTCTCCACAAGCTGATCAAAGTACTTGCTTCCCCCATCCTCCAATTGGGCCTTCCCACTAGTTGGTTGGATGAAATCAAGGGCCATCCAAATCTTCACCAGCTTATCGCGCTTGAACCTCCAGTTCTTGGGAACAAGCTACAGATTGCAAAGCATGGTTGCAGGTGCTCTGGTAAATTCTGGTAGCACAACTCTAATGTTTTGGAAATATCATCGAAGCCATCCTTCTCAAGCACGTTCCTCCAATAGTCTTCCCTGCGGTTGCTTCCCAGCATCTGTCCGACGGCCTTCGCCAACAATGGTGAGCCCCTGAGCTTTTCAGCAATTTTCCTCCCAATGCCTTGCAGCTCGGGAGACCACTTATCAATGTTGTCGTCACCAAAGGCACACCTTGTGAACAGAGACCAGATATCATTGTCCGGCAAGTCGCCCAAGTAGAACTCGCGTGCTTCAAGCGCTGTCACCACTATCTTTTGCCTTGTGGTGACCACAATCTTGCTCCCCGTTGACTCCCCGTGCCTGAGGGGTGCCAGCACCTTAGCCCACATCTCACGGTAGCCAATCCCCTTCATGTCCATGTCCTCCCTGTTCCAGACATCGTCGATCACCAGCAGGAACTTGCGCGACGAGACTTTCTCCTGGAGGTCAGTTTGTAGCCTGTGGAAGCTCTTCATACTGTCTGGCACGTCGACATTGGCGGACTGCAGGATTTGCCTGGCGAGCTCAAACTCGTTGTCCTTGGCGTCAGGCCGGACCCAGATCATGAGGTCGAAGGCGGAGGTTACCTTCTGATCCTTGAACAGGAGCTGCGCCAGCGTGGTCTTCCCCATCCCGCCATGGCCCCAGATCGCGGCGATGGGGACGGACACGGGCTTGGCGTCGGCGTCGGGCGTGTCGACGAGCCAGGACACCATCTCTTGCAGCTCCTTCTCGCGCCCGACCACGGCGTCCTCGTCCGGGCGCATAGGGCCCGTGTGGTTGCTGCCGCTCGGTTGGCGCGACACTGACGCCGACGCGATGGTCTCCGTGGCTGACAGCAGCATCGAAGAGCCAGCGTGGATGGCCTCCAGCTTCTCGACGACGTCCTTGAGCCTGTTGACGCGCTCGTCGGCGCCCAAGATCCGCTTGCCGAACCTGACGACGGAGGATTCAGGGTGTGGGACCGAGTCGTCGAAGTCGTCGAGGACGTCTTGGGCTTCGTACACGGCGTCCATGAGCTGCTGCAGCCACGCACGGAGGTTCCGGCACCTGTCCGTGGAGCCCCGCAGGTGGACGGCGCTCGCCACGGTCTGGAGATGGAGCAGCGTGTTCCGGAGGCGCTCTAGCGCCTTGGAGACGCCGTCGCCCATCCACTTGATCCTGTCGGAGGCGGCCTTTTGGACGACGATCTTGATGATCGGGCACACCAGCCAGCCGACCACCGCCTCCGCCATCTCGATCGCCGCCGCCGGTCGGAGATCGAGGCTGCGCGCAGCTGGTGGGGAACCAAGGAGACTAGAAGAGTGAGGAGGTGGAGTCAACGGCCGTGGGGTATTGGTCGCGCTCAACCAGCTGGAGTTGGAGGGGCTGGTTCTGAGCTATGACGGGGAAAATTCCGTGCGATTTTGGCTGTTTTGGGGAAATTTCCGTGCGATTCCCGGCACCGGAGCGCATTGCATTAACCGACTCGGGACGCGGCCGCTTTGGAAGTCTTGCACGCGACACGGTTTGGTTTCGTCGCTTTCTGTGTGGAGTGGTGGATACTACAGTGGGTTTTATTTGGAGTGGCAAAAGATCAGCGATCATTCTCTATCCTGACCAGGCATCGATTTACACAGTGTGCGAGGACATCGGCCCTGTTCATTTGTCGCGTGTGAGCCGTCTTATTTCAGTTGAATGAGTAGTATTTTCTCTCACGATAAATTAAGTGACAAGACTTTTAGCCATAGCTTTTCAACAAAGCGAATAGGGCCATCACCCGGTGTGTCCTTCGAATCGATGCTCAAACATCTCTCCTGACCAGGCATGGATTTACACGCTGTGCGAGGCGATGATGAAACAAAAAAAACCAGCACCGGTGATTCGATTCTACTTATTGTGATACTTGGTCATTAGTATGTTGCGGCCTTTAACCACAACAGGTTGCAAAGTGGAGAGAACCATAATCATAACCCTTATAATCACAACTATATGTAAAAGTACTGGGAACTATAGTCACACCACTGCAATGATCCTAAATCACAACAAGCAACAAGAAGGGGACAAATAGCTAGAACCCTACAAACATGGTCAACATGATGAAAATTGGATGGCAACGGTGTTATCCTGACGGGTATTGGCAAAATAGTCTGCGCGTGAGTCTTGACACAAGAAATTCTCCTGTTCCCCGTCCCTGACCCCGTGTCGGGGCTAGGTATTCCCCGTCCTCATCCTCAAACAAGCAATTTGTCAACTTATAAGTGTAATTGCACCATCAACACAATATGCTATATTTAATACATAAACATAAGTTCTTACTATATAAAATATGTCTGAAAATATGTTATCATGTATCTTGTACCATAGATCTCATTGCAAGCACATACTTGTTAGCGCTCGGACGTCCGTTCCAGAACGCTAGCGCCGGACGGTGCCGCGCACATAGGAAGTGGAGCCCGCGCTACCTATTTTTGCGCACCCCACGGCGTGGACCCCACGCTGCTTCTTGCCCTAATATCACGCTCGCTCTGCTTGCCTGACCACCGCACGCCCCCGCCTCCACGGGGGAACACCATGTGGGTCCCAGTCACCTACCACGACAAGTGGGTCCTATTACAACATGTGCAACACCAGATCTAGTTTTGCAACATCCACATGAAACACTTGCAACATACGTTCGAAACAGTTGAAACACTTGCAACATTCATCTGAAACACTTGCAAAACACCAAAAAAAACTTGAAAACATGTGTGTAGCATTGAAAACAATCCAGATGAAATATTTGCAACATACATATAAAAACACCTAAAACATTTGAAACATACGCTTGCAACAGGCATGTATATGCATCATCTAGATCTACTTTTGCAATATCTAGATAAAAGCACTTGCAACATACGGCTGAAACAGATGAAACATTTTGAACAAACACTTGCAACATAACGTGTATAGCCATTGCAACATGTGCAACATCTCAATCTACTTTTGCAACATCCATATGAAACACTTGCAATATACATCTGAAACACTTGAAACATACGTTTGCATCATGCGTTTTCAGTACATCTCCTTACTGCTTGAGAGAATGGAGACTCATTGGCATGGGAGTTCACCAGTGCAGAGCTCGGTGCTCCAGTGGAGACGGTCGTGGTGGATTTGGCGCGAGCTATCACCGCTCCGGTGGAGAAGGCAGTTGAAAGCCCTAGTTTGGTTTTGGTGAATTGATGAAACCCTGAATACTAACCTAATTTATCAAAGTGATCATGAGATAGGTAGCACTATTCCAAGTGTGGAGCAAATGGTGAAGATCATGATGATGGTGTGACCATGGTGATGATCAAGTGCTTGAACTTAAAAAAAGAAGAAAGAGAAAAACAAAAAGTTCAAGCCAAATGTGAAACTTGATAGAAGTTTTTTGGTTTGGTGATTGAGACACTTAGCGAGTATGATCACATTTAGGATCGATAGTCGTACTATTAAGAGAGGTGAAACTCGTATCGAAATGTGGTTATCAAAGTGCCACTAGATGCTCTAAATCATTGCAAATGCATTTAGATTCTAGTGAGTGCTAACACCCTTGAAAATGTTTGTGAAAATATGCTAACACATGTGCATAAAGTGATACACTTGGTGGTTGGCACATTTGAGCAAGGGTGAAGAAGTTGGTGAAGTGAAGGATGTGATTGTCACTGGGAAACAGTGACCGAACGCAGGTGTGGCAGAACCGTCTAATCTAATTTCCTCCCAAGAGTACTTGTCTTCCATTAGACACCAAGTACCAAAGAGAGTGTACTAAATCATGTTGTTCCGCCGAACACACCCTCTTGGGTACTCAAAAATCCACATTTTCCATCAGGATCATAAATGAGAGAATAAAGCTTACAACATTCTTAAGTCATTTCTTACATCACTTTATTACAGTACCAGAATATTACCTCAATTTATTATAACAGCGGAATATAACAATGTTATCAAGAGTTACAAAGGAAGTAGGATTAATTTAATAACATGGTAGAGCATTAACATAGTAGACATTTATATACAAGAGATGCTAACATATTTTACATCTTTTCTTATAAAAACCTTTAGTAAGGGTTATAAATAAGCGCTATGGTCGTAGCATGAAAGGAATCCTCTCTGAGCCCACCAGGAGGTTTCCACACAAGAGTCAACTCTAAGTATTCTCCAATCACCTGCAACAGGGGAAATAAAACCACGAGTATTCGATTGTACTCGACCAAGACTTACCCGGCAGGGAGGAAAATAAAAGACTCAAGGATATGCAAGGCTTATTTGACTTGTGGGTTATTGCATCTATGAAAGCATTACTAAATGTGCGTCCTTATTGTCGGTGTTTTGAGTAAACACCAGCGAGTAAATTGTATTATTGCGTGTTTGGCACGGATGGTGTGCTAAAAAGACATAAGGTTTATATCTTTGGTTCGGGTAGAATGTCCCTACGTCCGAGTTCATGGTTTCTTTGCCGTGTCATTTGCAATGAAAAGTTCATAGTAGGGGTACAAACCTGGTAAGAGAGGATGGGACCCAAGTCTCGATGGAAAGGTTGAAATGATGCGAGAACACTTGGTTCTTTGCTACGCTATGTGTGATGTGATGCGTGATGTCTTAAATCGATCCCTCTAGTGGGGTGCCCTTCCTTCCTTTTTATAGACTAAGGGGAAACAGGGATTACGGATGGGAGAAAGAAGAAAAACTAGAGTCCAAGGAGGTCCTTCAAAGATGTCGGGTCTTCCTTTTCCTGAAAGCGAGTCCCGTGACCGACCCGGTGAGGCGGTGCTAGGGATAGCTCCATCTTTGAGTGCGTGTCCACTTGATCCGATAGGGCCACACTCGGCTTTGTCGCCAAGTGGGACACGTCCCATCCCGCCTCGGTGGGCGACACGACGGACGAAGTCTTGAACCACGACCCTATGGGGGCGGGGCGGTGCAGTGACCCCACGTCCGTTATTGTAGATGATGTGAGTTTCCTCTGGACCGTAGTGGTTATCGTATGCTTCCGTCGGGATTCGTGGGTCGAAGGCGAATCTTTGGCGCCCATAACACTTATAAGACAAATGTTGGCGCCCACAACACTTTTTTTGGCTTTGACATGCCTAGAAGGGCTTAAAGCACCCGTCTTGTCATATCCTAATGGTACTTTCACTGTAGAGGCGTCTGAGTATGGTCCTCGATATTGTGGTTGACTCGAGTGCCCTGCCTTTATCTGTAGCGTAGTTATGAAGGAAGCAGAGTGTGCGATCGTCGGGCAAGGCGGAGTCTTCCCTTAGATGTCAGGCGAGTGGAGCGCCCTCGGGACGTCCGGGCTAAGCGGAGCCTGTCCTCGGACATCGGGTGAGGTGGAGCCGGCCCGGGGTCGGGTGGCGGAGTCTGTCCTCGGATCGCGTGGGGAGGCGGAGCCAACCCTCGAGACATTAGGCGAGGCAGGCCGGCCCGAGGGTTAAGCAAGGCAGAGTCTAGCCTCGGGACGTTGAGCAAGGCGAAGCCATCCCTCGGACATCGGGCTAGGCGAGTCTACCCTCGGGACGTCGGGTGAGGTGAGCCAGCCCCTCGGACATCGAGCGGAGGTGGCCGAGCCCCGGACATCGAGCGAGGCGAGTCTACCCTCGGGCGTCGAGCGAGGTGAGTCCGCCCTCGGGCGTCGGGTGAGGTGGAGTCGACCTTAGATGTCGAGTGAGGTGGAGCCATCCCTCGAGCGTTGGGTGAGGCGGAATCGCCCTCGGATGTCGAAGCGAGGCAAAGCTAGCCCGGATGTCGGGCGAGTGCGCCCTCGGGCGTCGGGTGAGGCGGAGCCAACCACAGGGGTTGGGCGTGAAACCGGCCCAGGACATCGAGCGAGACAAAACCAACCTTTGGGGTCGGACAAGATGGAGTTAACCCCGGTCATTTGGGCAAGAGGGTAGTCGCGCTCTTGTGCATTGTTCGGATGCATCAATGTTTGATGGTTATTAGCTCATCCTCTTTGGGTACCCTAATATTTGGTCCCCGACAAGTATTTGAGCCCCTAGGTGATTGGATAGAATCGCTGGGGGTGATTGACTTGCTAGAGGGTGCGCGCGAGTGCACCCCGACAAGTGTAACCCGAGCCCCCGGGTGATTGGATAGAATCGCCTAGGGTGATTCGAGACCCTTCGTGGGTATGGCTATGAGATTTGATGGTTTTGTTAACCGGATAGCTTAAATAGGGCCCTAGTATCCCGTTCGCGGGGATCAGTCCAGGGTCAGCCCGGCTGAGACT